GACGGATTGAATGTTGCACGATGGGGGTCATCGTTCGTCGCAAAGTTGTTTCTTTTCTTGGGTGTGCTGAAAAGTGGGGAGATGAAAGGTGTTATGAGTGTTTTGGGAGAAAGGAGATTTTGAGGGTTTAGAGGTGGGTAAAAGTGGGGAAAATGGGATTTTGGGAAGTTGGAGCTTGTGGGGGGTTTGTTGGGGGCGAACGGGGGTTCTGTGCAGACTTTACCCACGAACACCCTTTTAGCACTTCTACTCGCCACGGTGCCGACGACGACGATGCTTCGTACGTGAAAGGCATGACTGCCACACTAGCCATCGACGCGTACTTGCGTCACGACAATAGGCATACCAAACACAAAGAGCGCCGTCGACACGTCCAGCCCAAAGTCGCCCCACTCCAATGCACTCGGTGTGTTGAGGGCATGAGCCGAGTTCTCGTGCGTGCCACAGTCGGTCCCATCACTTGTTTGCGTGCCGAGACGAAAGACTGGGTCCTCGCATCCACTTGGACGACGATCCCACAGCCACCGCATTTCCATTCTGGAGTGGATGGACATAAGGTCGTCACACTTCACACAGCTGCCAGTGCATCGGCTGCGAGCGTAACGCAGACTTCGACCGCGTTGGCAACGTGTCGCGGCGGCGCGACGGAAGACACCATGACAACTCGGGCTGCTCGTGGCGAGGGTGTGCCAACTGAGGCAGGTCATCACGAGTCCGCCGCACGACTCGACCACAACCTTCCACTCGAACTCGACCGCAACGAAAAGAGCAGACCTGCAGCAACACTCTCACCCTTACCGACACAAACGATCGGCGTACTACCTCTGTCACGTCCCACCGCATCTTCGACTGCGCTGCTTGCAGTCTCGAGCACGTGCGACACGGCGAGTTCCAGCTCTCGTCTCGAGCACCGATGGAATGCCGCCGCCAAAGTGCTTCAACAGTGGTGGGTATTTCGTTGCCTCCGCGTCACAAGACAGACCATGTCGCCATCCAACGCCTCCCCCAATTGGATGGCATCACGTCGAGATGGCACTTCGCCACGAGTGGACAACTCACTCGCTTCCTCGCAAAGCCCCGACATCCCCATTCCTCCATTCAACACCCCCATCTCCCTCGTCTCGGCGGCATCTCCTACCTCAACAGGCGATGGAAGGTCGTCCACGTCGTTGGCGTCGATCTCTTCCACGCGAGACCACGAAATGGAGTTGGTGGGGTCGATGTACCAGACGTTCCACGCTGCAAGGGTCATTCAACGATGGTATCATGGACACCGTCGCAGTCGCTGCTCCATCGAGACCGTCGTGGACACTGAGGATCTACCGTCGATTGCGCTCCCACAGCATTCCCATGCCACTGTCATCCTACCGACGCCGATGCTGCCCTCGCCACGGTCCTGCTCCCCTCCACCGGACCCGCCGATCCCTCCATTCAATACTGCAAACACCACCACTTCCACCACAATGTCCATGCCGTCCCAAAGTCCTCAAGTCTCTGCAGGACTGTCGACCGTGTCGTCAAATGAAGCCGACACAGTCGCGTCAATGTATCAAGTCTACCATGCCGCAAAAGCCATCCAGCGGTGGTGGCGCGTGGCCGGGCAAGCGCACTACCTTCGTGCTGGTGCTGCGGCCACGACCATTCAGCGCCAATATCGGGTGTACGTTGCAAGAAGCGATTTGCGTGTGGCGCTGAAAGCGCTGATAAAGTCGCACCGCCGGCAAGCAAGGCGGCAGGTGCAGCCGTCCAAGCTCTTGCTGGAGGCCACGAAGTTGGAGGGAATGAAGTCTGCAAAGTGTGTGTCGTGGCGCGCGACCGTGTGGATCGTTGTGATGGCGTGCAGATGGTTGAAGTGGCACCGACGCAAGGTAGCTGTCCAAACAGCGGCGCACGTCGTGCAAAGGCAGTTCCGCGTCCACGGACGGCGCAAGGCCATTGCTGCTGGAATGCGGTTGATTTTACTTCACAACACGCGACAGCTCCAAGCAAAGAGCCACAGGGGTATCCTTGCAGCCGAACTTGGCGACCGCCACGAGCCCTTGGACGGGCCCACCGGCGTCGTCCTCGATTGTGTCGACCGATGGGACACATACACCGATCCCGAGACCGGTGCGCCGTACTTGTACAACCCCGCGACAGGGGAGACAAAATGGATGGTTGCGGAGACAGCACACGTGACTGTCCAAGTGGATCAAGTCAGCGACGATGGCGACTACGTCATATCTGGACTGGGCCCGACGACTCCATCTCCGACAACTCCGGATCCATCCATGGAGATCCATTCCTTTGGGAACCACCCGGACGAAATGTGGACCCAGGCAACGGACGGCAATGGATGTGTGTACTATTACAACCCCGCAACCAATGCCACGTCGTGGGATTCCCCTGCAGGACGTTGGCGGCACCAGTCCAACTTGAGCGAGGGATGGCAAACGTTTGCGAACGAAGACGGCGTCCCCTTCTACTACAACGCGTCGACGGGCGAAACCACGTGGACGTTGCCACCAATGTAGCATTCAACCATCATGTACAGTGATCAATTTAGTTTCACCCGTGTCAAATGTCCATCGCCCAACTTCATCGAGGTGGTGGTGCCACGACGAGGTGCTCCATCTTCGACTAGAGCATATATCGTTTGGACGGTCTTTGCGCATATCGCCAGAGCAGTCCCTGCGTACCAATCGCGGTACGTGTGGCCATTCCACGCCGTCGAACTGAGGTGTGTGTCGAGGAGATTGCCCCGAGGGATCGCACTGGAGATACGTTCCACGACGAGTTGCAAAGGACGCATTTGGTGGCAGAAGCGACAGCGGGCTGCACAACGCTGCTCGATCGCACACCAAGACGGCAGGACATCTCGCCGGGCAACATCCCCATTATGGTGAGCCAGGTTGGCGGCCGTGGCGCATGTTCATGGACTGCCTTTGAAGGCATTATAGTATTACTATTAGTAGCTCGATGTTGTGTAAAAGGAATAAAAATCACACTTCAACCAGGCAGATTCTTTCGAATGGATGGCACAACACGGATCGTGGGGGAACTCCCCCGCGCGTTCTGGCAATCGTCCCGGCGACGATTGTATGTTGTTGACGAATATGGCTGCATCGCGCGACAAGGCCACCTGGGTGGTGGAATGGCTTTGAAGTGTGGGCAGAATTACTATTTTGTAGGGACAGGTTTCAAACGTGCAGCGCACTTGGTTCTGCGATATGATTGGTGAAATTTGAGTGTGCTGGACCTGGCTATTAAAATATGAGCGATATTCAATGTCACATGTATACAACTTACAAGTTATCGATTTATATTATCCTTTGGGTTTTGTTCGATGTGAAAATAAAAATACTCCTCGTTGTGGGATATATGCCGAATCTCTCTGACCTGGAGAAGTTGAACACGGCGCCGCCTGCCTCGTCGTTGTCGACCGCGTACATGGGGACCAAACAGCAACCGAGCGAATCCAGTATGAGCGTCGTGCATGAGAATAACGATCATGTAGAAATCACCATGGTGCACATCCCCCCGGGAGCCCGGACGTCCGAGTCCGAAGGACCAGACAACAAACTTGGCCCGATTCCCACCGCCACCCCAGACAAAAAGCTCATGCTGGAGCCCCAACATCATGACGAGCTATATCAGTCCGAAGAGAAAGACTACGTTGATCCGACGTTGTTTTCCGCCGAAGTATCGCGGCATTCCATCGAAATTGCCGTCCGCCGTGCGCGAAATCTCGAGCAAGAGCTTCGGGACATTGAGAAGAACGCCCCGCCACCGCTACCTCCCCCGACGGTATCATACACATCCGTAATTGCTACCACCATCTCGTCCACCGTCCAAAGCGTAATGAAGCGCATCACGAGCTCTGCTTCAACAACACAGTACTCGTTGCTCGAGCCGAACGCATCCTCGTCGGAAGGAAGCAGCGGTATTGTCGGCGAGCGCGATATCGTCGAAGGTGACGGGATGCAGCTGAGCCCCGTGGGAAACGGCAGAGACAACGACGACATATATCTTCAACACCGGTCAGGTTTACGTCCCGCCCTTCGCAAGATCTCAGCGTATGAGAAGCCCATATCGTCGGCGATGTTGTCATCCGTTCGGACACCGAAAAAGTCGATTGCTTGGACTCAGCTGCCGCACGAAGTTTCCGACGAAGTCAACGACATCGCGATGGAAGGGCAGTCGTTGATGAACCCCGACCAGATCAAGATCACTATCACATCATCCCAGCACGAGCGACCCAAGCGCCAGCAGAAACCAGGGGTCATCCGCCGCCTCACGCCCGTGGAGAAGGAGGCACTGTACGTACTCCGTCCGGACCTCAAGATCGTGCCCAACTGGGCGCAAAAGTACCGCGAGGAGATGACGGGAACGCATGACACGATGCAGTGCAACAATTGGCTCATGTGCCTCATTCTGTTTCTCATGGTGCTGCTCGTGTTTCTCTTTTACATGATCGGCGTGACAAAACCCGACGGGAGTTAAGCGACTTGGCCAATGTATATACATATATATCTCGTGAACATCGACATGCCACAGCTTCCGAGTCATGCCATGCGACGACAATGTCGTTGCAAGGACCAAGTGTGGCGGTGGGGACGATGCATGGCATGGGCGCGCGCTACGCCGAACGATTTTGGGGCCAGCATCGTGGAGGAAAGACGGACAGTCACGGTTAGGCACTGTTGTGCATTGCATCCGGGCGGAAGTGGTCCGCCTCACCCAAGTTGACGGGTTCTACCTCGATGTTTTGTCCGATGGTCGCGAGTCTTGTGGCCTCGCACCGTCATCCCTTCACTGGCATGCGTCTGAGCGCCACTACTGCTCATATTGCCCAACCTTTTGAGCGACTGCCCATGCTTCGAGTCGCAGCCCATTATTTCCTTCAAATCACGGCATCGACGGAGAGCTGTCGAGCACGGTGTTGCGGCGTCTTCCCTCCGTGTACGGCCTCCTATCCCAAACATAGGTACGTGCTGACCCTTATGCCGATGCGATACGCCACACTCACACATAAGCGCGTGCTTGCATTCTCGAAGAACTCATTGCCGTCGGGAGCATCTCCGCCACAACCTCCGGCATCATCATGTCCCTCGAGAGGAGTATAAATTGAGCTCTCCAATCAACGCGTAGGGTCCGGATAACCAGTTCCTCGACATCCATTAAAAATTTGCATTGCCATAACAAACGCTTTGTATGGAATATAAAACACATTTCCGCCTTTGTTGGGATCCGCAGACAGCATCCGGATACTCGCCCAAGCCACGCATTCACCAACGACTACTACCGACAGCGCTTGCCTGCCATCGACCGCCCGCTTCCGTGAATCATCATGCTGCGCCAAACGTCCAAGTACTCATGGACCATTCTTCGCAACACAACCCTACGCGCATCGTCGCAGGCGGTGATCACCACCGCAGATTTGACCGCTTGGGGCATGATGCACACGACTGTCCGAGCCAAATCGACAATGCCAACGCAATCCCATCAAGCCCCTCTTGCAGTTGACACCGCTTCCATCATGCCTGAAAGCCTGCTTTATCACGATACCACAGGTCAAGGCGAGGACACCAGGTTCCCATTTGAACCGGCAGTGTATATCGTCCCTGGGAGGCACAACTACGGAAAGAAAGTTTCCGAGTGGATGTTCGCGCTCCTAGAAGAGAGCATGGCCGAGAACGATGGTCACTTGAACAGCGATGACATGACGTCGTTGATCATCACGTTGGCGCAGCGCAACTACTACCGCGAAGCCATGGAGGCACTCCAGTTTTCGCGCCAGAACAACGTCAAACCTCGCATCGCCGCGTACTCGAAGGTTATTTCGTCTTGCTACTCACATGAGCGCTTCGAGTTGGCGCTTCAAGTGTTCGACGTGATGCGTCGCGATGGTTTCAAGCCGTCCTTTGTCACGTATTCGCGCGCGTTGTCGTCCGCCTCCAAGGCCAACCAGCACGAAATGGTATTCACCACGTACGGCACTGGTGCATTCAGACGAGTCTCGTGTTGCTCTAGGTGATGGAACTTTTCCGAGAACTCATGGCGGACTGCCCCGACTTGACGGACGAGTGTCAGAGCATTGCGTGTAACACGGTACTCAACTCGTGTGCGCGAAACGACGACTACGACACGGCGACGTGGCTCTTCGACGAGATGAAGCTACGAGGGGTTCCGATGACCCAGAGCACGTTCAACTCGTTCATGTTGTGTGTGTCCAAGTCGGGCACCATCGCGGACGTCAAAGAAGTCGTCGGGTTGTTGGACAAGACAGGTAATGGCCATGTCGACGTTTCATATGTCAAATCGCGAGAAATTGTGGTTTTTGGCTCAAATTGGATGCAAATATGTCATTTTCAGTGTCAATTTTCAATTGGCTCGTGGGATTTTTTATTCCGTTTTTTGTGTGCTGAGTGAAGTTTATCCCATCTTTTGTGGCACTTTCGTGGAACCTCCAAGCATGAACCGACCAGCAACGGGCAGGCCGACGTGTGCTTGATAGCGATGGCGGCTGACCGCGCCGTAGGCTCGTCGCTCAGCCCGAACGCTTACATGTCGGCGATCTCGTCGTGCGCCAAGTGGAAGAAGTGGGACACAGTCATCGCGCTGTTTGAAAGGATGCGCGCCGAGCACGACACTGTGTTCGTCGTGACGATTGCGGCGGCCATGATGGGGTATGTCAAGGAAGGCAAGCCGGAAGCTACGATGGCGCTGTATAAAGAGTGCGTGGCGAACCACGTCGAACTCAACACGTTCGCCAAGCAAGCTTTGGTCACGGCGCATTTACACATGGGCGCGTATGAGGAAGGTCTTCGGATCTGCGATGCGGTAGGCTGCATGCCATGCGCGACTTGCATAAGATTGCCGATGAAACGTGGACACATTGTAGATGATGGCAGAGCAAGTGGCCGACGAAGGATACCGTGGCCTCGTATACAAGCTCAAGGTCCAGATGCTCGTGGCCTTGAAGCGCATTGACGAAGCCATTGCACTCCTCGAAGAGACTGGATCGATCATGGACCAGACTGTCAACTGCTTCCGCCCGCTCATTGCTCACTTTGCTGACGCAAGGCAGTAAGTTGTCGTGGCACGGTGGAAAAACAATCGGCGCACCTGACTGTGCGCGTCTAGATACGACCTCGCGACCAAGTACAGCCAAATGCTGTTTCAAAAGAATCAATACGTATCGCCTTCGGATTGGGTCCAAGCCCTGTCCGTGTCGATTGGACTCCCTGACAAGACGGCGTACTGGGAGTTCCGCCGCGCCCTCGAGATCCGAGGCCCTGATATACTGTCGACGATTCCAGGGGAGCTCTTCCTTGAAAGCTCCAAGACACACAAGAAAGCGCCTGCGCCGCCGGCGCGGTCATTGCTGACACCGGCCACCTCCCGACCAACCTTGCTGTCGCCGACCAAACAAAAGTTGAAGTTATTGTAAGATAAATGGAATATCAAGCCGATGGAATGCGAGGTGCGTTACGTGCTTAAGCTGTCGAGAGACAAGTGGTGTACAACTAAGCGCGCTGGTGGATCGCAAAACGATACGCTGTCGCGAACGAGTTGCCCACGCCGCTTACAAATAACGACGCGGGTTGTACGGCTTGCCTTCGATTTGATCGTGTTTGATCTGCTCTTCCATGGCGAAGTGGTACACGAGCGAAAAGGGCAGGACCGTGCCGAGGAACAACTTGCTCACGGTGGGCACGTTGAACACGAACTCACGGTCGCAGTTTTCGCGGACACCGTTCCAGACCTCAATTTGCTTGTTCTTGTTCAACGAGCCCCCGTTGCGACGCTGTTGGCCCTTCATCTGCACCAGCGAGAAACGGGTCGTCACATTCACGCGGCGCGCGAGTGTCTGGCTGAGACTCATCCTTCACGACCTCCACGAATATTGAATTGGAAATGGAAGGCATCCGGATAACAAGTCAGT